CGCCCGCCGCGGGCCGCCTGACGCTCGCCGAGGGCTACATCCGCTTCGGCGACAACGCGATCGCGAACAAGAAGGGCATGTGGCCCGCCTTCTGGATGCTCGGCGACGCGATCCGCAACGGCGTCGGGTGGCCGCGCTGCGGCGAGCTGGATATCCTCGAGACGGTCAACGGCGCGCTGACGGGGTACGGTACGGTGCACTGCGATGTCAACCCCGGCGGCGCGTGCAACGAGCCCAACGGGATCGGGGCGGCGACGGGGATTCCCGACCAGGGGTGGCACACGTGGCGGGTGCAGATCGACCGGAGGTCTAACTACTGGCAGACGGAGAGCATTACGTGGTTCCGCGACGGGGTGCAGTTCCACCAGATTACCGGCGCGCGGATCGGGAGCGAGGCGATCTGGAACACGCTTGCGCGCGCGCCGCTGTTTTTCATTCTGAACGTTGCTGTGGGAGGCAACTGGGTGAGTTGTCCTTGAATGATACGCTACGAGGAGAAGTTTTGCTAACTGCTACAGCCCGGTAACCCCGATGGTAACACCTTGGGTGGTTACGGAAGCATGATGGAGACCGCCTACGTGGCCGTTTACCAGTCGAACTAGGAGGGATGATGATCCATCGTCACTATCTTTGAAGATATAACTCTGGATATTGTCAAGTTGCTGCTCCTGCAACTACGTCGGTCGCTGTACATATGTCATAAACATATTTAGATACCCCTTGTCAATGTTGCTTACAAATTGCACTCTTTGAATAACACCTCCATACGCACACAACTTATTCTCACTATAAGCGGATATATGCTGGTATGCTAATTGAATTATGTTCTCATTGTTTTGTCATGTTCTTTATTCATACGGGGCTGAACTTATGCTGTTCTTCCAAATCCTCACTTTCTAAAAGCACCCTCCCTTGGCGACAAATCATCATAAAACACCAGACATCTGACCTCAATACTCTGTCGTCCCTTGGCATCAGCAGGCGTAGCAGGATCCACAAAAGCAGTGTGCGGCGTCAACCCCGCAAGTCCTTGCCTACCCCCCGGCAGCCCCTGGCTCCTCGAGTCGAAGCACTTGATGAACATGGCCTCGTCGGGCGTCATGTCCTTCATGTAGTACAGCTTGTGGTTGTCATTCGGCGCGATAGCATACGTCTCGCCTGCCGTCAAAATGTCAGCACATCCTCATCCGATCTCACAAAAGAAGTGACAAAACTCACCCTTAACCTCATACCCTTCAATCGACTTCGCCAGCGTCTCATCCGGCAAAACCTCCTTCCCGCGATCATCGTCATCCCCATCCGTCCTCTTCGGATACAACAAGTCCACCGCAACCAAATCCTCCGGCACCGTCGTCCGCCAGTCAATCACCGCCAGCGGGAAATCCGTCGCCGGGTGCCCGATCGGCCGCCACACATTGATAATCTGGTACCGCCCCTTCAGCAGCTCCTCGGCCTCCGCCGCGTCCTCGACGTGCCGGCGCACGCGCACCTCGGCCGCGCGCGGCGTCTGGTCGACGTGCACCTGCTGCACCGGCTGGCGCGGGCTCGACTTCTCGCGGCGGCGCACCGTGTGGTCGAAGATGACGACCTTCTTCACGCCCGGCAGCTTCGCGCGCAGCAGCGCCTCGACCTCGGCGTAGTAGCCCTCGCGCACGGCCTTCTCGTCCGCGAAGGCCTTCTCGGCCGCGGGCGCGTGGTAGACGGCGAAGCCCGAGACGTCGGTGCCGAAGGTGGAGGCGCCCGCGTCGCGGATGTTCGTCACGGAGCGCCGGCGCTCGGTGCGGCTGAAGGAGGTCACGTCCGTGTCGACCTTGGTCCAGGGCTTGCTGTTGTCGTCGGCGAGGGTCGCCGGGTCGACGTAGCGGAAGACGCCGGTGGTCATGGTTGCGATGTGCTGGTGGCGGGTGTGGGTGATGCGGGGAAGTATGCGTCTTGCCAGTTGGGGTGCTCGTCGGAGGATCGTGCTCATAATACGGCTTCGCAGCACAACGGAGAAGAGGTCTCGGGAAAAGCCGACGTCAGAATGCAATGATGTCAATTGCGGTATCTGCAGAAGAATCGTGCGGGGTGAAGAAGGCGGCCCCCCTTTTTAAAACAGATCGGAGTGCGGGCCGGGAGTGAGTGACACCACCCTTTCGTGATTGCATCACCGTCAACCAGTGAAGAGGGGCATTAGTCAGGCGGTGCTGTATTTCTAAGCCTTTCCTTCGGCTGGCTTCGGCGGACCCACTCCCGGGGCCGGTTGCAAATGCGGGCTTGATTTGAAATGGCCGGCGGGGCCGTTCTGTCTGGACGCCGATTTTCTTCCGGTCGCGTGATCGGGGTGCAACGACGCCCTAAGGCGCCGGGGGGCTTTTCCGCGATTTTGGGAAGAGTGATTTACAATTGCATCGGGATCCATATCCCGTTCGAAGGTGTTCATTTGATGACTCGAAATAGATTCCGTCAAAGCGGCCCTGTCATCGGCAAGGCATTGGCTGAAGAGCCCGCGCTGAGTATTCAAGTGCCCGGCGTCAGTGCCGTTCCGCGGCGGGAGACAGTTCAATGAAGACGCTTGCTTAGTGCAGCAGCGCCACATGAATTGGGGATGTGCCTGTGGTTCATGGTTCTGCTGGGCTCGTAAGCATAGGTTACCTAAAAGAATTGACCTCTTAGCGAAGACAGCCGAAATCACAATTAGATCGGGTGAGACAACATCACGATGCATGTAAGCGTTGCGCAAACTGACTTCCTCTCTGAATTCTGAGCGACGTTAGGTCATCTTGCTGCTTCGTTCCCAAAATTTTTGTCGCATTCTCTCGCTTCAAGCTTAGCAGCCATCAATTATGAACAATGGGAAACTGCAACCGCAAGCGCCGCAACTGTCTTCGCGTTAGCGCATCGCCGGCTCGCCCGCCATGACGTTAACAACCAAAGCACCTACCACTTACTACCACCCAACGTCTCCTACCCCGCGATGGAGCCAACTTCAACTTCACGAATCTCATCCTATCCTCAGCTCACAACTCACTCAAACTCTGAACTACTCCGAGATCACACAATTGGCACCCGAGAGTCTTTGAAAGGAGCTTCACAAAGTCAACCGCAACAATGGCGCCCGCCCCCAAAATGATGAAGGCAATCCAGCTCAAGTCCTTCAACGCGCCGTACGCCGTCTCCCGCGTCCCGCTCCCGCGCCCGAAGCCCCACCAGCTGCTCATCCGCATCCGCGCCGCCGGCTTCTGCCACACGGACTGCATGGTCAACGAGGGCGCCTTCGACCCGCCCCTGCCCCTCATCGGGTCCCACGAGCCCGCCGGCGTCGTCGCGGAGGTCGGCGCCGAGGTGCAGGGGTTCAAGGAGGGCGACCGCGTGGGGTGCATCAACTTTGAGGGCGCGTGCGGTGAGTTCATGAGCTTCTTCTTGCGGTGACCGTCAACTATGCCAGATAGCATGAAGCTGACTTCCGCCAAGGGAAATGTCCTGACTGCAAAGCTGGGAAGCCGGTGTACTGCGACAACATGCTCATGAAGGGGATCACCACCGACGGCGCCTGGGCGGAATACATGGTCGCGTACGCACACCACCTCCCTCCAAATCCTCTGGCAGAAACTCACACATAAACAGGGACTGGCGCTTCACAGTCAAGCTCCCCGACTCCATCTCCTTCCCCATGGCCGCGTGCCTCATGTGCGCCGGCATCAGCATCTACGGCGGCATCAAGCGCGCCGCCGTCCCGCCCGGCGGCTCTATCGGCATCGTCGGCATCGGCGGGCTGGGCCACATCGGGACGCAGCTCGCCAAGGCCATGGTCCGCCGTTCCCCTTTCCTTTCCTCTCCTCACTATCTGCTAATGAACTAACACTGTCCCCAGGGTTACAAAGTAGTCGCCATCGACGTAAAACAATCCGCCCTAGACCTCTCCGCCTCCTACCCGCTAAAACCCGACCTCACCCTCCTCGCAACCACACCCGCCCCCGACGCCGTCTCGCAAATCACGCAGGTCGTCGGCGGCGCGTACCCAGGCCTCGACGCCACGGTGCTCGCAACCGACGCGCCGGCGGCGTTCACGTTCGCGGCGGCGGTGACGCGGAAGCACGGGACGCTGGTGCTGCTCGGCCAGCCGGACGCGGGGATCACCATGACGTACAAGGACGTCATCTTCCGCGACCTGCAGCTCGTGGGCTCGCTGGTGGCGAGCAAGGAGGACACGGAGGAGCTGCTGGGGCTGGTGGCGGAGCACGGCGTCGAGGTGAAGATGAAGGAGTGGAGGATTGAGCAGGCGGAGGAGATGAGGCAGGAGTATCTTGGGGGCAAGGGGGAGGGGAAGAACGTGGTTGTGTTTGAGTGAGGTATGGGTTTGTGATGAGGACGTGACGGCAAGGCTCCCATCCCCGTCTAGACTTTTGCTCGCAGTTTGACAGCAGAGACGTCGTCTCGCCAGTGATGTGTTCGGCTGAGCAAGCAGTGAGATACCGAACATATGATTTGGCGACCTGGGTTAGGAAGTAAGCTCTTGCCTTGGATATGTCATGATAGTTACCTACGACACAAGAGATAAGCCAACAAGAGACGACTAACGCTGTTTCCGTTTGACTTGGAGATTTGAGCAAGATTGAAAAGCGAGAGCACCTACTTATCAAATCCACATTTCGAGCTGATAATTCTAGGAGGCGGCAGAGAATGATACCAGCAATCGAGACCTTAACTCAGTGACTAACTTGAGGTAATCTAGACCGGAAATCGAAGACTCCTTAGTGTGAGTGACGCCATATAGTTATACACAAGGATAAAACCAGCATATTCGGTTACGAAAATGCCAGAAACGATGCTCTCCAAGGTCTCACTTACAAATTCACATACGGGTTCACAACTCAGACGTGAGACTGTACAACGCACTCAAACGAACTATCAACCAAAAGCAAGACATTGAATGGTCCTTTTGCAAGCACACGACTTGATGAAGTTCACAACTCAAAATCCCCAAAAGAAACCGAAAATCGCAAAAAACAAAAGAGAAATGACCAGCGCGGGGCTCGAACCCGCAGCCTTCAGATGAACAACTGATCCGCTTCGCATCACACGAAAACTGATTAGAAGTCTGACGCGCTACCATTGCGCCAGCCGGCCATGCTTGTTAGGTGTCCTGGGACGATCCCGGAGCGACCCATCTCCGGTGTGTGGAGATCGTTGCTGCCGGACCTCAGAAGTGATTCTATGTAGGCTCCCTCTTCTGATGATTCTGTTTGCTTTTTTCCCTGCAGTTTGTGTGTGCTGTTTGCCCCAGAAGTCTTTGTCGACGGTGGATCTTCTGACTCACCGTACCCATCGAAGAATCCACAAGGATACAGTACCTTTTTTTTTTTTGTGTTACCAAGAAGTGGGATTGTATGTGGATTCCACAACCAACTTTGCAGATGTTGCGCCGCCCCTCCTGACGTAACGATCGAGATGGTGGCCATCGCCAGCCAGGGAACCAGAAACCTTTCTGTTAATCTGCAACTTGCTCAAATCATTTTGCCTTTCGCTCTCTCCGTTTTCGTGGGCACGCCGAGCGTTTGTCCTTTCCCTCGCCGTCATCTTCGCTGATTGTGCTCACAAGGCACAGAAATCCTTGGCAAATGGAGATCCGTGACGCTGAGACTGAGAGGAAGGACGCCCCGGCGAAGATCCCATCGGAAAGTATGAACCGATCCAATGCGGACATTTGACGAGACGGCACCAAGTGGGCACGGTTCGATCGATTTCATCAATCAACGAAGAAAGAGAACCTCTGGTGGGGGGGAGGGAAGAAAAAATTCTTTAGCAAAATTTCGCATTTCCCCGGACGGTAGGTTTAAAGTGCTTGCCTGCGGTCTGCCTGGCGCAGGGGGAAACGGAAGCAAAGGGGACCTGGAGCGGAGCCTCCGTTCCGTTTAAAACTGCGAGAAAGGCCTCGAGCTTGAGTCAAAAGAAGAAGGACAACCCAGCAAAGACTCCATTTAATGAAAAGAAAGAAAAATGTAGAATACTTCTTCACAACGGAGCTCCACCACGATGGTATTGCATCATTCATCAAACGCAGCCCGCTCCAAGCCGGGTCGAGGTTCGTGTCGCTCGCTCGCTGGCCGTCGCGGTACCAACGCCGGCGTACCGCTTCTGACAAGTAGGTACCTTAGGTAAGGCACATTGGGTAAGGTAGGTAGGTTTCGGAAGGTCTCCCCGGCACGTCTCCCGTCGCATCCTCTCACGTAACAGAAAACGCCTTCAGGTCCTCCTTGGACCTTCCGCCGCCGTCACCGCCGCCAGCCCGGCGCATGCGCTGAGTCTTTGCCAACAATGCGGTGGTCGCGGCCGGCTCCGATTTGTCACAGGGCCTAACCTTCTCGGCCTTCTGGCATGACTTCGGCCTGACTTTTGTGACTCGACGGAAGTTCACGATGCTTTCCTTCCTTTGCCCTGGCGGGCGCCCCGCCTCCAAAACATCCGACACCCCTCCTCCCGGAATGCCACCCGATGCCTGCGTGCGGCCTTGCGGCCTGGTGCTGGGAGGCACACTCACACCGGCCCGGTGCGCCGGTTACAGCGTCTGCACCTGCCGCCGGCCTTTAGGTTGCGATCCCTTCCAACGTCCCACAGCAGACACACCGCGCGAAAACGAGCCCGGCGGCGTACCGTCGGCTGCCCGAAGACGAGGCCGCACCCCGCCAATTGAAGCTTACACCGCGCCATCGTGAACGCATCCCGCGAGGCAACAATGGCGCAATCCAAAAGCCAAGCGGGTGCAACTGCCTCATCTGGGCGCAACGTTTTCGTTTTCTCTCTGCCTGGTTTTCCACCTACCAGGGCGCATCCAAAGGCAAATGTTCCCAAGTCTCGGCGCCCAATTCCCGCGTGAACCTACTTACCTACTTGTCAATGCATGGACTGCAACTACCCGCGACGACACTTCCAAGCCGTGACATGACGAAGCTCCACCGCCAAAACATTCTCACGCCCACCGAGCTGTGACCTCCAGTTCATCCACAAACGGTCCAGGCCACACACTGCCAAGATCCCAGTAGTTAGCGCTACCTTCTTGTCTTCAACCGCAAACCCGCCTCTGCCACTCAAACCGCGGCCCGAGAGACTCGTATTACAGAAAGGCTAACCGCCGTCTCGGAGCAAACCTCCAAACAGAAATCCAAAACGTAATCCACCGCCGCGGTCATCGTGACGATTCGATGCAAAGTACTTCACCTTTAACCCATTATGTGATTGAGCAGAAAAAAAGCTCAGACCAAGGGGCGACAACACCTAACCGCGCTGGCGTTCCCAGCGTTCCCAAGGCCTTAAAGTGCTTGCCGCTGCGTTCTAGAACCCTACCCAGTTTCCATCAAGTAACAATTTCATAAGATCAACCCCTCCCCTCCGAACTCTCTCACTCCCTTGACACCTCAACCGCCAACCCAACCCAACCATCACCCGTCGTCTCATGCAGCACCCGTAGCCGTTCCCGTTAGCCGTCCCTCTTTCCCGCTAGAATTTCAATGCAAACACACCAGACAACGTGGACAATGCGTCCTTTTTGAGCCGCACAACAGGGGACTTACCCTCTCTGGCCAGGCAGGCTAGAACTTGCCGCCCATGTCCCAGTAGAAGGGTTCATCCCCGATTCGCGCGCTCTCTTCACATGTCATCCCACTTGACTCGAGGAGGGGCAACTTCTTTCGCATGTTTGAATTTTTTTCGGGGTCTGCTGTTTCGATGAGCGGGCGTTGTTGTAGTTGTCTCGTTGCCAATGAATCGTAGCACGCTCATCCATCGCGATCGAGTGCAAAAAGTAAAAAAGGTGCCTAGGTATCCGAAAAGTCTCCACACAGACTTTGTAACTGCGCGCCTATGCAACGCACTGAGTTGCTGCTTGCGTTGCGCACTTTGGTTGTGTCGTAATTACTTGCGCAACTTGCGGAATACAAGCATCATAGTTCACAAGCGTGTATTCATCAGTAAGTGAGTCCGGAGTTATAGTTGAGAATGGTGATGTAATTACTATGTCTATATTTCGCTGTTGGAAAAGTAAGAGAAAACATCAGAGTGGCTGCTGAGAAGCCGATTCGGGGAAGTGTGTTTCGCCCGCCCCATCACAACCGAAACTAACAACGCCGTGCAATGCTGCAAATCGTCTCTTTCTCGCCCACTGGTCCTTTCACCGTGATTCTTCAAATATAACAAAAAAATAGTCCAAAATATTTCTCTCCAAAGTAACCAACAAATATCGACAGTAAACTGAAGGTGTAAATGGCTCCCGGTCGTTGTCCGAGGGGTATAATGTGCGTAAAATCCAAAATGACAAAATGTTTCCAAATCAAATAACTTTTTGTTTTCCTTTCCCAGTTTCGCTTTCCCATACAGTTCCCATCTCTTAACACATTATGCTTCCTCCACTCTATAAAAATAAGATTTCATGTCGCATTCGTAGACGGTTTGTGTGTCATGACGTAGATCCGTTGACGGACCCCTCGGTGCTGTGCGTCTGCCCGTCCAAGGACTCGAGGCTCTCGTACTCCACGGGGGGCACCTCCGCGCCGCCGCCGTGGCCCAGCTGCCGCTGCAGCTCCTCGGGGTACGCGGGCGGCGAGGGCGGCACGTCCTGGTAGACGGGCGGCGCCTCGTTGTCCCAGCTCACGCCGAGGCCGGGGCACTCGGTGAGCATGACGTGGTAGTGCATGCGCAGGATGCGCCCCGTGCCGGTCTGCGTCGCGAGGTGCGGCTTGCCGATGGGCGCCCACTCCTTGGAGACGACCATCTCGATCATGAGGGCGTGCGAGACCTCGGTGCCGTCGTGGGACTTTGCGTCGCACGCGTAGCGCGGGCCGTGGGAGTGCTTGCTGCTGCCGGCGATGACGCCGTAGTCGAACTCGAACTCGACGTGGCCGTCGGTGGAGGTGTAGTCGCTCTTCCAGCCGTCGTGCATGTACTTCTCGCCGAGGACGCGGGTCTCGGTGCGGGGCGCGCCCTTCTGCTGCGTCGGCGGCGTGGTGGCGGTGCTGGCGGGGGTGTGCTTGTCGCAGGCGGGCGCGACGGTCTTGATGGTCTCCTCGAGCTTCCAGGTGACCTTCTTGAGCTTCCAGAACTCGACGGTTTTGTTGGTCTGGTTGGCGGTGGTGAGGCCGTCGAGGCGGAAGGAGACGTTGTGGGTGCCGGCGGGGTGGATGACCTGGTTGTAGTGGGCGCTGGCCTTGATGTTGGTCGGGGGGAAGACGCGGACGGAGTGGTGGGGGAACTCGGGCTGGGTGAGGGAGCGCTTGACGTCGAAGTTCTGCTCGAACTTGATGGGGTGGTTGGCCTGAGAACCGCTCTTGGGGAGGATGGCCTCGGCCTTGAACTCGTAGGTGATGGAGGTGAGCGGGGTGTCCATGGAGGCGGGGAGGTGGCCCTCGAGCAGGATGGAGAAGGGGAAGGGGTGGACGCCCTTCTTCAGGGTCGTGGGGTGGGCGAGGAAGGTCCAGCGCTTGAGCTCGGTGTACTGGTTCTGGCACTCGTTGCAGTGGTTGGTGAAGGGGCGCTTGTGGTGGACGTGGATGTTGAGGCGGGCCTCGAAGGCCTCGACCTCGAGGTGCTCGTCCTTGACGTCGAGGAACATCTGGCCCGAGACGAGGGCGCCGGTGGAGGACTCGGCATCGCCGAAGAAGACGATGGGCGGGCTCTCGATCTTCCAGTCCAGCTTCGCGTGCGGGTTCTCGTGGGAGTCCTTGGCGGAGCGGCCGAACGGCAGCGAGATGCGGTGGTGATGGTGCTTCTTCTCCTTGAGGTGCTCGACGGCGGGGGGCTCTGCGGCGAACATCTTGTTGTAGGGGATGTGCTCGCCGTCATCGGAGGAGTAGGACGAGTGGCGGTCGAGCGGTAGCCTGCGCAGCAAGCCCTGGTCCTGCACGTTTGTTGTGCTGTGGTGTTGTTGTGTTGATGACTGGTGGCGGATGGTCTTCGTCTTGAGGTTTGCAATTGCGGAAACACTGAAGTTCTCAGTGGAATTGCGCAGGAAATTGGCGACTCGGTGGGGCATGGTTATGGTTGTTGGAAAGGGTTTCCCCGGATTGCCTATTTGGCCGTTTAGGTGGTGCTGGATCTGGCTGTAGTTCGGTTCGATGCGGCTTCCAGGGCGCTTCTAT